TCGGGGAAAACTTCCTCTTCTTAATTCCCTCACTTTGTCTTGTTCAAACACTGACATATTCAGAAACCGAAGCATTAAGCTTCACTTCCACTAAACAAACGCTTCATCCTGTAGAGCAGTGATTTTCAATAGTGCATCATGCTCCAAAAATGGGTCACAGATTGGGTAGAAGTTGATATTATAATATAAATACATGCAGAAGTGATTAATCCAACACAGAAAAGCCAGAGCAGAACAACACATGACACCTGATATGATTGTGTTAATGTGTTGAGTCGTCACTAGATATCAATGTAAAATCTGGATCATGAATCCCTGCTATGATGCATCAAGCAAATAGTGAGACCTGAACACACTATACTGAACCGTTTAATGAGACTTTGTATGTAGATTAACTGTTACTTGTAGTGTGTGTCTGTGCGTGTGCGCATGTAAGTGTGTGTGTGTGTTTTCCTAATCTTCAGCGTATTGCAAATTAGTGACAAGTCAAGCATCACTAGTACCATTCCTTATAATTAGTGTTAGAGATATGAGCAAGCAATAAAGATCTGCATGTAACTTGTCCTGTTTGTGCTGCAGACAATGCCCTAGAAACCATCCAGAACACCCAAGCAACCACCTAGCAATGCCCTAGCAACCATCCATCCAGAACACCCAAGCAACCACCTAGCAATGCCCTAGAAACCATCCAGAACACCCAAGCAACCACCTAGCAATGCCCTAGCAACCATCCAGAACACCCAAGAAACCACCTAGCAATACCCTAGCAACCATCCAGAACACCCAAGCAACCACCTAGCAATGCCCTAGCAACCATCCAGAACACCCAAGCAACCCCCTAGCAAAGCAATACCCTAGCAACCATCCAGGACACCCAAGCAACCACCTAGCAATGCCCTAGAAACCATCCAGAACACCCAAGCAACCACCTAGCAATGCCCTAGCAACCATCCAGAACACCCAAGCAACCCCCTAGCAAAGCAATGCCCTAGCAACCATCCAGGACACCCAAGCAACCACCTAGCAATGCCCTAGCAACCATCCAGAACACCCAAGCAACCACCTAGCAATACCCTAGCAACCATCCAGAACACCCAAGCAGCCACCCAGCAATGCCCTAGCAACCATCCAGCACCAACATGTAAACCAGCCAGAACACCCATTAATAACAAATGATCAATTCGATGGAAGTGAATCAATCAAAACTAACTTTAGCTGGAAAATAACATTATTCAAGAACCGCTATAAAACCAAACCAATCTCTGTTACCTTAAATTATATGTTTATCTCTGTAAAGCTGCTTTGAAACAATCTACTCTGTTAAAAGCGCTATATAAATGAGGATAACTTGACTTGACCCTAGCAACCATCCAAAACGCCCTAGCAATGCCCTGGCAACCACCCAGAAAACCCTAGCAACAACCTAACAATGCCCTTTCAACCATCCAAAACATATATAGCTACCATCTAGCAATGGCCAGTCAACTATGTAGAACACCCAAGCAAGTAGCAACCATCCAAAACACCCTAGCAATGCCCTGGCAACCATCCAGAACACCCTAGCAACCACTTAGCAATGTCCTAGAAACCATCCAGCACCACCCTGTCAACCATCCAGAACACCATAGCAATGCCCTAGCAACCACCCAGAACATGATAACAACCACATAGAAATGCCCTAGTAGTAACAACCCCTTAGCTATGCTTTAGCAACCATCCAGAACACCCTAGTAACCACATAGCAATACCTTATTAACATCCAAAACACCGTAGCAACACCTAGCAATACATTATTCACATCCAAAACATCCTAGCAACCACCTAGCAATGTCCTAGTAGTAACAACTTAGCAATGCTCTAACAACCATCCAAAATACCCTAGCAAGCATTCAGCACCACCCTGTCAACCACCCAGAACACCCTAGCAACCATCTATCAATGGTCTATCAACCATCCATAAACACTCTCACACAATGCTCTAGAAACCATCCAGAACATGATAGCAACCACCTAGCAATGTCCTAGTAGTAAACCCTTAGCAATGCTTTAGCAACCATAAAAACACCCTAGCAACGCCCTAGTAACCATCCAGCACCACTCTGTCAACCATTCAGAACACCCTAGCAACCACCTAACAATGCCCTATCAACCATCCAGAACACCCTAGAAACCACTTGGAACAACATGCCAACAACCACATAGCAACGCCCTGGCAACCACCCACAACAACTTAGCAACATGGCAGTAAGTTTTCCATGAGCACAATAGAAATGTGCCGATGTGGTTGTGTCAGATGAGCAGTGATGTTGTGCTGATGCGTGTACCTCTTCTCTCCGTGATGGATGGACAGAATGACTCCAGAGTTGAGCTTCTCCTGTCTGAGCGTCAGAGCGATGGTGAACTCACTCTTTCCTCTGAGTTTCTGCAGCATGTGGCCAGCGGCGGCGTCCGGGACTCTCACGCTCCGGGACAGGCCTGCGGAGACACAGAAGGGAATACGTTAAAGGTGCAGTGTGTAAGTTTTAGCAGCATCTAGTGGTGAGGCTGTGAACTGCACCCAACAGAAGTAACGGTGGCCGACAAACGCGCTTATTCGACGTGACATTCGCTGCATAAAGTGTTTTTTATTTATTGATTTTAAAGAATTACAACTGCAGTCAGGGGTGTACATTGAGTAAACAAACAAACAAAAAAAAGACACAGAAACAGTGACAAACTTAAAGGTGCAGTGTGTAAGTTTTAGCGCATCTAGTGGTGAGGTTGTGAACTGCACCCAACAGAAGTTACGGTGGCCGACAGGAAGTGATGTCGTCGTCTGAGACAGCAGAGAGTCGCCAGTTAAACACTGAGGATTCTTTACAAAGATAAATTAAGAAATTATGTTAACTTAATTATTCAGTAAAACGATGTTATTGCGAATATTATTGTGACTTGTTCATCATTGTGTCAGTGTTTGATTCGCTGACATTAGCAGCTTCTTATCATGAAGAACAACATAGTGACGAAACGCGCTTGTCCGTTCAGGGCCACCGTAGAAACGTGTGTGTGTAAGCGGACCCGCGGTGTGTGTAGAGAGAAACGCCTCATTCTAAGCTAATAAACACAAAACGCTTCATTATGTAAGTTATGTATATGATATTGCATATAATCGTGTTTAATCGCATCTAACATAAAAGTTTGTTTACATTATATATGTTTGTATTTATTATATTTATGTATATTATGTCTCTGTATTAGTGTTGTCAAAAATATCGATATTTCGATAAATATCGATACTGAAATATCTGAACGGTACCAATACTAATTTCCTGAAGTATCGATACTAGCCGAGCGGTCACTTTCACTTCTCTCCAAAGGCGCGTTGACAAACACCACACGTGACGCACTCGTCTCATTCGCTCTGGTTAAATAGCAAAAGTGAAGTGAATGGAAAGATTGCGAGGGTGGCGCCCCCGCGACCGGCTTTGGTTGATTCCGCGAGCAGGCATGTCGGAGAATACGCGGACACGCGCTTCACCCTGTGAACGTGCTGCGGGCACCCAAAAGATTGTTTGACTATCAATAATCCCTAACATCACTCATTTTTTTAAATTATTTTATAGGTGAAAACAGACTTAAGGAACAGGCTCCAGGGGTACCATTTAGCAGCATATATGCTCAGCATCAGGGGTGTTTGTTATTTGGACAGGACAGACCTGCCCCCACTGCTAAAAAAAATCCTAAAAGAAACACTGTAACTCTTCTCATTTTAACTTTTCTGAAACATTAACCAAGATGGCCTAGTATTGTTGTTGATATGAGTCTGTTTTGTCTAGTATTTTCACCGTTTTATTAAAGTTAACATAATCTGACTGAGGAATCTTAGACAAGTAAATATTGTTGTGGTCAAATGTAAATTAGCTTGTGCCTATTTAACTTTATTCAAAAATTATTATTTAATTCTGCAATTTTCCTTCATTAGCGATTATCATCAATATGATTACACAGATACTAATTAAACTAAACAGCTTGACAATGGCATCTCTAAATTCAATAATGAAATGCCTTTAACTGAAAATTGAATGTTTAATCTTATTATTATACATAACTGACTCTCTATCCTCCAATTTGATACTGTTAAGTGCTTTTTTGTTACAGTATATTTTAATCTTTGATAACAAGAGGTAATAAAAATACAACGGATCATATAAGCTCTGGTCCAATTAAAAAATATTAACAAATAGAACTCGGGACATTTTTGTTAATGTAAAATATACCTCATTGTCATGTTCTAGACTTGTTATATTTAGCTTTAAATACAAAAAATCCCCCCTTAATATTGTGGCAATTTTTTTCTCTGTGGTTTCGAAAATGGTATCGAATATCGATATTTTTCAAGGAATCGTATCGAAGTTAGAAATTCTAGTATCGTGACAACACTACTCTGTATACTGTATATATAAAGTTGGCTATATGTGTGTATATGTATACACATTTGCATATATATATATATATATAATATAAAAGTATATAAATCGATTTGACAGCACTAATATGAATACATTACATTAATGAAACATTCTTCTGTTCTGATTTCAATATTTCGTGCATTTTGCATGAACTACATTTCCACTCATGCACAAGAATGAGAAAAACGGGGATAAAACATCGATCAAACAGAAAATGATCATTATTTAGTTGCATTAATGCTAAAAAGCTTCCCATCATATCAGTAATTGCCGAGACAGAGCGAGTTCACGACGGCCACATAAATATCTCATGAAGCGCTGTCATGATAAACAGATAAAGCCTGTCATGTCATAGAGTGCTTTAATATTAATATATCAGGCATGATGTGAATGTTTACAACAAATCAGAGTCGATTATGTGGATGTTGACGACTTATTAATAATCTCCCGCCGTACAGACAGAACAACACATTTCTTCCTCGCCTCTCCCTCCTCTTCCTCTCAAACACGTGCGTCTGACACTCTTTAACGGAGGCATCAATAAATGATCATCCCTCTCTCACACATCAGAGGCTCACACACACACACACACACAGAGGCAGTGACACAGTTACAGCAGCCTGTAATGAAGACATCCTCAGATCGATCGACTGAAGAAGACCAATTAACATCCACACCGGCCAATCACAGCTCCAGATCCAGTGTGCCGTTTAATTAGTGAGCGTCTCGTTGTCAGAACTGCACTTCTGTCCATCAGTCAATCTCTGACACAACTCTCCCAATGCTTTAAAACCATAGTGGCCCGAAATTATTACAACACCTGACAGATCTAAAGATATTTTTAAAAAAATTGCCTCCAAAACATAATTTAATTTCATAATGTTCATGAAACATGCAGATGGTTGCTCTGAGCACAACACATATCAGATGAAGTGAGTCATACTGTTTTTATCCTGTATTTAATATCTCCATTCATTTTCCTTCTCCAGTAAATGTATCTAAGAATGTTTAGATATTTGTGCTGGAAAAGATCATTTTGGTTAGAGTTCATATTAAGATGTCTGGCTTTTGATTGCAGACTTCTGAACTGAATCTGAATCTCTTCTGAAACTCAACATCTGAGAACATGAAATCTTTCTTCCGCGCAAAATTTCATCAGAGATGTGACTCAGAATGAAGAGCGTTAACAGGAAGTGCTGATTTGGAGTGAAACCGTCTGGAAACATATTCTAAAGATAAACAGAATTATCAGTGTTTTCTTTAAACAACAGTTCATCCCTGACTCACTCCCACGTCGCCCCAAACACTTTCCTCAGTGGAACACAAAAGAAGATGCATTTTCATTTTCAGATGAATATTCCTTGAGCAGCTTGTTATGATTTCAGAAGTCAAGTGATGTTGGTTTATTCTGAGCAGCGGAAGAAGCTGAATATCCACTCTATAACTGATCATCTCAAACTGTTTTGTCAGATTTTTTTATTTTATCTTTCCAATCTTTCCATCCGTTTCCATCAAGATCCAAATAAAAAGAGAAAATAAGATTACAATGCATACAGAAACCTAATATTGTTTTATCTGTGTATTTTTTCAAAACAAATTGCATTTGTTTGATTTTTATGAACCTGCTTTGTCACATTAATGATGAGAAAACAATTAAAGCACTGAATATTTAAAGCAGTGTTATTTTAGTATTCGTTATATACAAGTTACATGTGTTTTTAGTTTAAATTTACATTTATGCATTTATCCATGAAAGTGTATATAAATATATGTATATATTTTTTTTTATTTACTAACAAAAATATATTCTAAGAACATTTTTGCAAACATTCCCATTAAGTTATAAATATGTGATTTTTGAATGTTCTCAGAACATTCAAACCTTCCAGTTTCAACTGTTTCTTGGTAATTCAAACATTAACGGAACATTCCATTCTACAAACATTATTGGAATGTTACTTTTAAATGTTCTCTGAACATTCCAAAACAAGCAGTTACATTTAAAAATGACAAAACGTTCCGTGAACGATGTATAAATAATGGGTAACACTTGACTTGTTGCATAAGACTGTGCATAAGACTGACATGACACCTTCATAATCATGACATTGACACATGTCATGAATATGAAGGAGGGTTTATGCATGTTTATGACAACTGTCATTAAGTGTCATTCGCTCAATTATGACATTTTTAATGCAAATATGACATTGTTTGAGATGTCTTTGTTATGACAACTTGACATAAACCAATACATCATAACCTGTCAGTGTCTTGGTAATGACCATTTGACATTACTAAGACAACACAACCTGTCATAAATATGTCATAAACATGACATAGCAGATTAATTATCAAACTTAAGAAAGCACTTAGCTTTATGGGTTAACATTACATTAAACTGTCAGGTGGCTGGTTTTGACATTGGCTGTCATGAGGCCATTATAACCTTTTAATGACAAATTAAATGTGTACCACTGTAGTTGAGGTCAAGAAAAATATTCATGACACAGTTATAATGCCTCATGACAGCCAGTGTCAAAACCAACCACCTGACAGTTTAATGTAATGTTAACCCATAAAGCTAAGTGCTTTCTTAAGTTTGATAATTAATCTGCTATGTCATGTTTATGACAGGTTGTGTTGTCTTAGTAATGTCAAGGTGTCATGACAAAGACACTGACAGGTTATGATGTATTGGTTTATGTCAAGTTGTCATAACAAAGACATCTCAAACAATGTCATATTTGCATTAAAAATGTCATAATTGAGCGAATGACACTTAATGACAGTTGTCATAAACATGCATAAAACCCCCTTCATATTCATGACATGTGTCATGTCATGATTATGAAGGTGTCATGTCAGTCTTATGCACACCCCTTCAAGTAAAGTGTTACCAAATAATGTTTTTGTGCTAATGTTTCGCTAACAGACTTTAAGACCAGATAACTTTGAACTAACGTTCTATTAACGATACTGGGAGAAGACCTTGCCAGACAGCAACATAGTGTCGGCCCAGATCCGGCCCACATCTGGCACGCATTGAATC